CAATTTTACATAGTTGAGTGAGAACTTCTTTGCAGGTATAATTGATAATTTATATAACAAAAACAAACGTAAATAAACACAGTTGCATATGGAAATACATAGCTTATGAACTTTTACCTTCTACAATGTATCTCTAATATACATAATAATAAGTATTGCAACAACAAAAAATATGCGTGAGGTTAAAATCTTATTTTTTTATGAAAATGACTAGTGATACCTAACTAAGAGAACTAACGTTTGATGGCATACAATTTTTCATAAACATTGTTTATTGTGTCAAAAATTGGGCGGATATATCCGACACGCACCCGAAAATGGTTAGTACAATATAATAATAAAATAAAACATTAACTGCTGCAAAACTGTTCAAAATATTATTTGATTTCTGAATTTAAATAATTATAATGAATTTATATTACCATAAAATAAAAAATAATTCACTGTTGCAATTAACCAACGGTCTTTCCACTCTATTATTAATTATTATTAATTTAGAAAATATGATAAACAATTTCTTAAATTAATCATAAAATGATGTGAGGAATTATTGAATCAATAATTACGTTCATTTGATTCTAGTGAATAATGACGAGTTTCAATTGCTTTGCCAATAGCTTCTTGCTATTAATGCTCTTACATAAAAGCAGCGTATTTACTAAGATTATTGATTCAGAGCAATTCACTTTCCAATCATGTAAGAGCTATAATATTACAGATTTGCACATAGATAAATATAGAGAAGAAAATTATGAAGATTTTAATTTTTAATCCATTTATCTTATTATTACATTAATACAAGAAATCTTCAATCAAGTTATTTCGTGTTATATCAAATTAATTTCTTGTTTACTAATAGATTCTTGCTATACTCTACTATAATTTTTGTTTTATAAGTGAATAATAATAATTGTAATGATCAATTAATATTGATAATTCAAGAAAGATTTTATGTGTGATTATCTTTTTGGTCCGCGACCCCCTTTTTGCACTTAAAAAAATTAAAGAACCTCCGAAGAATGGGTGTGTAGAAAAAGATAGCGTCTCGTCAATCATAAAATCTTCTACAACTCCCAACTTTGAGAATCACTGGTATACAGTTAATCTAGTATTATATGCTTGCAACTTGTCAAACTACTTACATTAACGTAAGACAAAACAGAATAAATAACAATAAACCATATAATATTATCATATTATGATATTTCTACAGTGACAAGTATTTGTCACAGATAAGTACTAGTCATTGCATAAAAAATATGTATTTGTCAAGTTATGTATACAGTCTAGATCAGTGATGGCAATGAATGTCTGTGGTGACAAAAAATATTATCACTTATGAAAAAATATTGAACTGTATCCAAGTGACACGGTGACAATTTTGACACACCAATCCTAAAAGGTCAGCTATCTCTGGTATAGACGCACCAATGATTAATAATATATAGAATTATATAATAAAATACTTTCCATTTACTATGCTTTTAAACATGCGACTTTCATTGCTTTTGTCAATAGCTTGAAACCATGACTTAAGGATGCTTGCTTTGTCTCAATTTACTTTCGAATCACGCGATTCAAAATGATTTGAGTGTGGTCAAGTACAATACATTAAGGAAATAAAAATAGTAATTTAAAATATATTTAAAGGATTTAATTTATATATTTTGCATATTAATAAAGTACAAATAAAATAAAATTAAGTACAAAGTTGTTAATAGTTCTTCTGTATGAATAGTTTGTAACTGTAATTATTTTAATCAAATAAATTATTAAGGTAAATATAATTATCATAAACTGCATAATATGTCATTAAATGAAACAGTATATAAAATTTACATTTTTAATTATTTTTTACTGAAAAATTAACGTTTTAAAAACCAATGATAATAATTTTTGCATTAGCTTAGAGTTTTACAGTAACAAAATATGAGATAGAGTTCATAAAAATGTAATGTTTGTATTTACATTTAATTAAATTTATAATTTGTTTAGTAATAAAAATGAGCAAATAATTTTAATGCATGTTTTATATAAATGGTGTAAACTTAAGAAATATCATATAAATTTAGTAACATATATGTCTTTGAAAGTAACAATATATCTATATAATTTCTTTATTTATAACAATAATTATTGCAGTAGAATAAATCAGATCTAAAATTATGTTTTTGTATTGTTATAAAATTAGTGTTTAGTCGACGTACAAAATGCGTTTGTTGAATCGTTTATTAAATGTTTAATATTCATTGATATGTATCTACATTGAAGTTTTGTATATACGAAAAAGTTTCTTTATTCAAACAAAAGTACACAACGTTCACATGAACGTACAGTTTATCATCGTACCCGACAAAATATACAAATTTCAATTATATAATTGTTTGTGAAAACTCGAAAAACAAAGCCGTCGTTTTTAATTTTCTAATATAATCAACTAAATAATCAATTATAAATAAATATAATAATCGTTCAGTTAACGTACAAAATAATTACAATTCTCTACGAACGTACACGTACACTTTGCAGAGTTTGCACAGTTTTCTTGAAATTCTAATAATTATTTTTATACTGAGCATAAAAAATGTCTAAATATGACTTAAATAGAAAATAATTACTCAAAATATATGTTCTACACATTTGTACATTTGTACGTTATTTTGATGAAATAGCATAAATAATTAAGTAAGTACTAACTTGTTTCTAGTTTATGCTGCCATCTTTCAATTGTTTTAATTATTGTTTTTATACATCTCTAACGGCCTACTTGGTTGTACAAATGCAAACACTAATTCATATGTTCTTTTTTATTTATTTGTTGATATAAATTATACTTATATTCGTTTATTGATAAATAATACAAACTAAAAAAGATTTTTTAAAGTTGATTATTCTCTTATGTAAATATATTATCAGTTCAATGCCCGATAGCAATTTATTGTCGGAATTAGCTTATTTTTACAGTAATGATATAAAGTTAAACAAATCAATAAAAAACATGATTTAATTTGACTATATTATGCATTGTACATGTTTATAGACACTAAACATACAGCGTGCTTCAGAAAACGCTCTCTCCTTTTTTTTATATACTTAAACATGCTGGTAAATATCAGGTACGAAAGAAATATGACCTAAAGCAAACATATCGTAGGTAACGCGTAATCTTGTACATCCGTAACCGATACTTAATATTGGATTTTAACACCTGCCGCGTGTTAGGAAGGTAAACACAATGGGGGAGACAAAGAAGGACGAACCTCCGCCACCGCTCGTGTCAATAAATCGGAAGAAGCAAAGGACGAACCGATTTAATGGCACTGCAAACAAGAGCCTCTCTTTGCTCACACTCCACTCACAAGAAAAGAATTCACTGCTGAGGAGGCAAGGATTAATTGCGCTAATTTGCATCGGGATTTGCGTCGAAACGAGAGGATAACGAAAAAAAGCCATTCGCAATTAAACGTGACTGCAGTAGAATCGACCGTTCAGTAAATCACTGAAAATCGTACAGTGAACACACTTGACCCTCCATGCAAACGCATAAAAGGCACTCTTAAACTGCACGAGAAATTATTATGTAACGCTTTTTGTATATAATTGCGAGACGTTCGCCATTTTATTCGTTTATTTATCACGACAATCATAGTTTCCGTGTATGAATACCATTTGTGCTACGATGAGGTAACAGTTCTGCTGTTTTGAATTTACCGCGTTTTTTATTGTAAATATCTGGAGCAACGTCGAAATGTTTTAAGACCGCGCAAACTATAAATAATCGACGGGCAGAGAGAATAAAAAAAAAATTATAAAGAAAGGCGAAGCTTAAAGTTATATCGGTTAACGCCGTCTCGTGCGTTGTCATCTTGATCATAAAACGAAGTGAAATACGGACACGTACAAAAGAATTAAATTATTTAATCAAAAATGCGTAACTCTTAATCATTTTTAATATCCCAAATATAAATGTATGGTATGAAACATAAATATTTATTACTTCAATAATTTATTTCGGATTTATTTAAATTATTGCGGTAATTGCAGTTTATTCAGATACAATTTTAAATTGAAGACAACACACATCAAAAATTAATAATGAAGTAAAACAGGTTTTCTTTGATAATTTAATATTATTATTTTAACGATTTTAAGAATGATAATTATAATATAAATTCTAAAAACAAATGACAAACACATTAAATTACTTAGAATTAATTTAATCAAAATACTGTTACATACTTTTATACTAAATACGTAAGGGAATATTTTAACGAGAAAAGTGATCTGAATTAATACTTTATGATTCTATTTACATGTAATGTATTCAATGAATAACAGTTAAAAACAATAACATATAACGTATTTCGGTTTAATAAAATTTACATATACGAGCGTAAATCACTGAATTGTGAAAGTCTAATGAGGTTAATTGTTCATTATTAATCAAGGATTACAATTTACTCACGTATTATTCAATTTATTGTGTTCAAGCGACTTTCGTTACTTTTAACCGCAGCTTCTCGCTATAAACTTTCATATCAAAAATAATGCACAGCATTTAATTAGTACGCAATCTGTTCCACCGCGATTCACTTTCCAATTATGCAAGATGTAATCATTATAATTAGAGCATTCATAGGTAAATAGTACTGATGGAAAGTGATTTTATATTTGATTTGTTCTTTATTCATTCATTGATAGAATTCAAAAATTTGTCAGTCTATTTCTCTTTTGAATGGGAACGAGATTATTGAGAAGTATCTATATTGTAAGTGTGTACTTACTTAATGGTTACTGTTCCCGGGAATTGATTGAAAGTTTTTAAATCTCGGGATTAGACGTGTTAAGATTTTGCTAATCCTGAGATCTAATCGAATTTAGAGTTCCAATTTAATTATTTGGGCACCAAAACTTGGGTGGAAATTACCAAGAAATTTTTTATTTATTATTAATTTAATAATAATAGTTAAATATCTAGTTTACATACTATAATAACTTACTCAATTTTGATATTGCTGCTGTTCCAAATCTTTGATTGAATTTGAAAAAAAATGGTCACCCTGGAACAAGAAAAATATATAATTAATCAAAATACCAATTATAGACAGAAAACTATTAAATAATAAAAAAATATGAGTCATTATTTATAATAAACAAAAATGGAACGTACAATGTTTGAGATTCTTGTAAAATATGTTAATTATTTAATTGTTTTTACAGTGATAAATGATGGTTAATTGGCGAAAGCGTTAATGATCGTAGTTATGCATTCTCAACACCTACCCACTTAGATGATGATTATTAATGAAGCTTAGACAGATTCCAAATGGGATTACGCATCGTCAAATCCACGTTCGACGTTTTAAACCGATGTTTATTGGAAATCATTAATATTCTATCTTCACCAACAGCATTATTAATAATAACCAGTATCAGAAATGAAGCCATTCAACGAACTTTAAAATTTAAGTATAAATATCCGGTAGTATTTTTTTTAATTTTTCCTTTACAGAAATCACTATAACGTTTAACTTTCGATGTGCGTAGAAGAAAGAACGTTCTGAATGTTATTTGTTCATTCCAGGAAGGTTTTTTTTGTGCTCGACTACTTTGCAGACATGTAATGTTTAATGGGCAAGTGATAAAACGTTTTGCGTTTGATCGGAATGCGAATGAAATAACTTGCACTTTCCAGTTTTAGTGTACAATGTCTGTATTGGAATCGATACAGTTACATATAATGTATCTACATTCAATTAAGGTATAAAATGCATACTTTTTTTTAAAGTACACTAAGCGAATGTCCTTTAAGCGAACAATAAATTCATATTATTTTTGTTACATTAATATTAGCACTCGACTTTCAAAGCAACGTACATTTTGCTATACGAATATTTGTTCTTTTTCTGTCTGACACCTTTGTGCGTTCATGCAGACCTATGTACGTTAGTTAGGTTAAATGTACGTATGTTCGAACGTAATTTTAAAAGTATGTACGTTGATTATATGTAGTAGAAAAGTCATTTATTCAATAATTTTAGTCAAGTTTAGTTTAAGTGCGAATTAGACATGTTAATTACGAGTAAAATAATATCCACTATTTTATTCTCGTTGCTCTAAACAGAACGAGTAGAGAATAAAGTAGATAGACGAAGCAAAATATTTATAAAATTCCATCATCGATTTTGTAATTGCAGATGATGGTACATCTTCGGCCATAAAAGCACTAGAAGCGCACATACTTCTGGATGACGACGAGGTTTTCATTTCCATTTTAGTACTTCCTTATGATACTTGTTAGAACAATTAGATTCAATGTGTACTATTGATTTTTCGTATGGCATTGCCATTGAAACCATCATCATACAACACTAACGACCCGAGCCGTCGCAAATCATGCTCGTTGTTATTATCTTTGTATACAGGTTGTCTTTTTTTATAATTGCACGACAAAAACATGACCAAAATTTTTATTTGAATACGTCCGAAGGAATCCTTGAACACTTCAAGATGTTACTGCTTCGAAAAAAAAAACAACCAAAGAATGTTTCTTTCTTGAAGTAGTAACAGCTTTATTAAAAACGTTTATAATTGGTTGTCTAGGCCGTTTATTCACCTCGAAATATTATGTGTTAAGTATATTTTTTTACATATATTTTATATTCATAATTTGAAATAAAATAATTTACACTTTCTCCTTGATTTAAATAAAAGAATTGCTAACATAATACAATATGTCAATATTACAACCTTAAATTTACAAAGTATTTGTAATGATATGTTTGATAAAAAAAAATGTTGTAATTACTTTGATCTATAATTATAAATATGAATGTACATACAGTGGAACCTCACTTAACGAGCAAAATGAATTGTAAAAAAAATGACTCGTTTAACAAGCGACGTTTTGCATAACGAGTGACGACGAGAAGAGAAGTCCCGGATTGCCGCTTGTTACGTCATTTTTAAAACTTGTGTACACATATTATGTGTATTTTTGAATGTGCTTCACTATACGAGTATTTCACTATACGAGTAAAAATCCGGAAATTTTGGAACGGATTAAACTCGTTAAGCGAAGTTCCACTGTATAATAGAATTACAAAAGGACATGATTTTTATGAACTAGTTGTTAGTATTAACTATAAAATTTCCATTCAAATAAATAATCAGTATTTTATTAGGCATACATCTTATTCATAATAAATGTGATATAGACTGTTTTGAACTAAATAAATGTTGAAATTGTTGTGGTTCTTCATAAAAAAAAAGTCTGACGTCTGTAATTTAAGTTTCCAGTTTAAATTTCTTTTATTCATTTGAAGATGTTACAGAGTTTGTGTTATTATTATTTTTGTGGCTTTTTGCAAGCTTAAGCTCTTTGAGCCATTACAAATTTAATGGAGATAGAAAATGAATGAACTTAAATAAATTTAAATTGATTATATAACTCTAAATACCAAAAGCATATTATAAATAATAGGACATAATTATTGTAAGTAAATAATAGTAAGAATTAGTTATTATTTTATATTTTATGAATAATGAAAATAAAATTAATATAAAATTTTATTTGTATCGTGTTTAGAAATTATAATATTTATTGCATCAGTCGTACAAACAAAAAACATATATAGAATTAAAAGAACAAAAGGTTTAGAAATATTAAAAGGTAAAAAATCGGTTATTTTTTTACAAATATAAATTGTAATTCATACAATGTTAACGGTATGCGTGATTGCAATCATTTTTCAATTGTTGAAATAATGTTGCTTTGTTGCTTTATACAAAAGAGTAAATTCTTATAAGGATTTCAAAAGACAAATTTGTTATCAGTTCATTTTACATTGAAGAATACAAAAATGGTTTTCGTTCTTTGGTTGTTATATTTATAATAATGTCTGTGAAAATGTATCAAGATTTTACTATTAATCGTTTAAGACTAAAATCCTATTAAGTACTAATATTTTTCGGGATAACAAATCGCTGTGTAACTAAAATCGCGTCCCGTTGCCTGCATAATCTATGTGGATAGGTACAAAGTGAAATATGTATATCTGGATAGATACTTATTATCTAGGATCGACACGCAGCATCCTTTGCATGTAAGATTTTTGTCGTGAGGTGTACGGAATAAAAAGAGCGTCACGTAATCAGTAAACGATCGTAACGGAAGAAGAAGAAGAAGACGACGACGAAGAACCCAAGTCGGATTATGTATGCATGTGAATGTGTGTGGATGAATGTATGTATGGATTCGCGTGGATGTTGTGTGCGAGCACCTCGCGTTGCGATCAATCATGCCGAGCCGCTTGAGTTATGATTAATTCCATGTAAAATTGACAGTAATTGAGGGATTTAACGGTCGAACAATTTTCGACGATAGTCAAGGATCGCGGGGGCTGCTGCTGCACGCTCTCCATTATTTCTGCGGAAAAGCGCCGATTTCGGCGACAGCTCGACAGCATCCTCGAGACTTAATTATGGCTCGCGACTTCCTCGATAACATTGTTCTATTCATAGAACCGCTGCTGTCGTCGGCAAGGATCAGTCCTAACCATTTGTGGTCCGAGCATGCATCAAGACCTGCCAATACTTTGTCAATAATCTCAAACGACAGGCAAAGCTAAACTCGGAAACCAATGTTTATTATTATTTATATAAATATATTCCTTCTTCCTTTCTCCTATAGCATATGCATATTCAATCAGGATTCGAAAATGTCCTGCGAACCCTCGTTGTAGTTACGCGTCGTTATCGCTGTTGTCGTCTTCGTCACAGGTCGACTGCTGTACTTTTTACAATTCACCTTCCTGGAACAGAGAATGAGCGAGCTCGTTGTGTGCTTAGGCTTCAACTTCCAATAAATCAGCAACTTGATCAATGCATTTCGCTCTTTCCTCCCGTTTCTTATTTACGTTTTTTTCTCTCTTTCTTCTTTTCTTCGCTTCGCTTTGCTTCCATGAAGAGCAGAACTATTAGCAGAGTAGTGACCTATGGTTCGTTTGTGTGTACGACATATGGTAAGCCTATCGGAAGGTAGTACGCACAGTTACAATCCTACGGCAAATCAACATACCTGCTCTAAACTACCAGGAATCACTTTCGATCTCGAACCTCTCTCGCAACCGATTATCCAAAAACATCTTGTTTTTGACCTACGCGTTTCCGCTCGATACGTGTCTACCCAAAACACTTACCTATACTTCTTCACAAGCACGTAATTCTTCCAACATCAATTATACTCGTTGCATCAAAGACCATCTTACTTACATTTACTGTTTTTACAACTTTTCTTCGTATCATTGTAACATTGCATATTAGCAATACTGTATAAAATAAATTAATATTATATTTTTAATGACTGTAACTTATATATAACAATTTCTTTTTTTGAACTTTTATTATTCATTCACAACCTGTCAACATCCCTGGCTATAAGTTGAATATAAATATAACAACTAGAGTCGATAAAAGGACAATAAAGCAAAGTTATATAACATTTGGTATAAATTATTATTGACATTATTTATTTGTTAATTGAAAAACGTTCCTCAGTTAATAAAAAATATTAATTATAGAGCGGCTTTTGCATATCGTTTCACTTTACTTTATTAATTATACAATTTTTTCAATAAGATTATTTTTTTATAAGATTGACTTAAGTCATATAAGTCATAATCATTTTTAATCTTTTTTGTAAGTACCGACGAAAAATGATCTTGAAAAATAATATTACGAACTACATGCGAACTGTGTAAGAAAGGTAAGTTCAACCTGGACTTATCCAATTTGCTGTAAAAGAATAAAGATTAATAACCATCAATTTGGCAAAATAAATAAAGGAGTGAACGCAGGCAGATATGCCCTTAATGACTCTCGTATCTGATCACTGATGAATTTAAATGAACATTTTATGTTTGCGAATAAATTTTAATGTTTGCGTTTTTATTTTTGTCTGCTCCGAATACGAGGGGCCTCAGGATTTCGCGAGCGGCCCCAGTGATTAATGGTAATAAAATAATGATGAATTGTGAACAATCAACACGCGGTCCATGTC